GTGACCAGGTGGGTCAGGATATAGACCAAGAGGATCACCAGTTTTCGCTGCATCTTCATTCGAAAGCCGGTAATATTGAATGAATTGATGAGAAGACAATGAGAGGATACCTAAATCGCAAGTGGTGAAGAATAGCTTGAGTTTTAGGAAAATGATTCTATGCATAATTGTCACACCTAGTGACCAGAGCTCGCCTTTCTTACAGCAAAGCGAGCTACAAAGCTTTCTCTACCGGGCTTACCTTACGAAAGGAGACGGGGGGACAGAGTGACGAAGACTAAAATACTTACGCCACTCTGCATGTATATATATACATTATTCTCAACTTGGACGTCGGTACAGTCACGCGTGCATGTGCGTGTATACCTGAGCTTGGGTGCGCCAATTTGCTCTACAGACTGACTCAAGTTTGATAAGAGTTGCTTGGGCGTTTGTCATCTCGTCGAAATTGTCACCGGGCTGCAGCGACTCATCTGATTGGTGCAGGGAGTTGATTCGCCCAGAAACCAAGCCCAGCCATGCAGTGCGCATGAAATCAGCCTCATCACTCTGCCCATTCGACAGTCTCTACTCTCTCCCAGCTATTTCTTCATCTGTCTCAATCTTTCTCTCTAGCCAACTTCCAGTCGGTTTCCCTTCCGAAGCCTTGACCGGCCCTTCAGTGCCTTAACCCTGGCTAGGCTCACTTCCAGACCTCTTCTACATAACAAGTCCCACAAGTACTTTCGATCTTTTCCCTACTACACTTCATCCAATCTTCGCTACATATCAGTTTTGACAACTTCATTTGGGCCCCAAATATGCCTCGTATCCTAGCTCTTCTAATGGGCGCATCGCTCAAATCAAGGCCTTGTGATATGTTATCTCCAAGACCCCCATTTTCCAGCTTTAAGAGGATCAACAATTAAGTCGGATACACATTAATGAGCTTTCCTCATATGTCGCCTTCACTATCTCGGTTTCACATACTAGTAAAACAAACAAACATTCACTAGACGCCGACGAGCCCATGCACAGATATGTACACTAGCACATGCTTGTGCATAGAGGAGAGGATATATAGACACACGTATACGGTGCAAGTTCCTGCGTTATCTAAGCACACAGGCACATAAAATTCGAAGCCATAGCATCAGCAAGGCCTCTAAGCTGGATTGGTCGAAAAGTCAGAACCCAATCATCACCGCCGCCAGTGCCATGCCAGGGAACAAGATTTGAAGCACTATTTGACCCATAATTCCCATCTTAATCCAAATGAATAAATTGTACCTATTTTGCAGATAATAAACGTCTAAAAATGGTAGCCTTTCAAACCACATTACTACTTATCTTAACCTTAAACTATGCGAATAAATAGATCTGCTTGAGTAGACAAGCTAGGCTTCGATAAAACAGAAGGCCACACCATCTTGGTCTTCATATTTACCATATATAAAACTGCTTATATATATATATATATAAACTTATTTATTTATTTATCCTCATAAATTAGTGTTGCTAACATGTTATGTTGCTATTGTCGGGACAAATCTTTCTAGAGGTGTACCGTTTACAAAAATGGGGCGACTTTAGTTACTTGAGCTAAGGCAAGAATTTCGGGTCAACTCGGTTATTAGGTTATATATATATTGACACCTTTGCGAACCTAGGGCCAGAAGACCGTGAGATGATACCTAAATCGGCAAGTA